GACACTAAACACCTCTACTTGTAGCAATGGCATCCTTCGTTATGTAATACAAATAGTGTACTACTACAGTATGAATGAAATACAAAAAGGTTCATTCCGGTGAGGGAGCTTCCACCCTTCCACCAAGGCCGCAATCATTTTTCCGAAGAAATGATTACATCAAAGATGGCCGTCAGCGTTTTCCTCCTCTTCTTGGTCTTTGCATCCGGTGAGTTTTTCTTATTCTTTTCTACGCCCTCACTGGTGCATTCTTTGCAAAAATAGTCTACTATCAGCTGACAACATCTTGTTATGTTGCCCAGTGGAACTTTCGGACCTTTGTCTGCAACTCTTTTGATAGTTTGAAATTAGATGGATTATTGCCAAGGATTACAACAACCACCACCGTGCTTTATCCCACGAAGTGAGGTCGGCTGTATGAACCCTAAAACAACACTGTGCTCGGAAAATAGGGACAAAAGCTAAGACTTTGGGATATATAGTTTTAGCTTTGTTATGGGTAATCTGGGCGGAAAGGAATAGGATGGTTCGTTAGGATTTTGTAGGCAAGGGCAGCAACAGTGGGGAGTTGTGGGAGAAAGCTTGTTTAGTCTGCTGTTAGAGTTTCCAAATTATCAAAAGCTTTGGAAATATCTATGGAAGCTTAAATAATTAACTACATAAATCATCACAACGATATTCATCACGGGTGTCAAATTCATGATTCATAATATTGCGAAAGAAAATCACTCAATCAATAATCGAGAATCGAGACATGGCATATAAACGTTATCAATGTAAGTAAAAGATTATTAACCTATATAATTCTAATCAATTATTAATCCATCACTCTCCTACCTCGACTCCAAAGCTAGCAAAGTCTCATTCCTTAGCTTTCCCGAGCACTAAGGCACCTCCAAGTCTAATGCCAAACGTCGGAGTAAAAAGTAATGACAAACAAGCAAAAGTTAGAATATTGTAATATAAAACAGAAAACTTATATAATTTTCCAGTTCTGCGGACAGAATATGAGCAGATTTTTTACTAATCAAAACTCAATGAAAATTTATGAATTTCTATTCTTTGGAATGCTTGAAGAACCATATTTTCAAGATATAAATTTTGTTAAAATCTGAGCTCTGGACTGAGGGAAATCACGAGTTAAAATAACAAGTATGTGCACAAATCTGCACCAGAGTTTTACACGGGTTCAAGGGAACCTGTTTGAACATGGCCCATCAAATTTCAATGAAAATCTTCGTGTAAATACTCACTTTAAAGCTTATGAATCCCTCTTCAATCCTATGGAAAACAAGTCTGAAAACAAGCTTGCTAATGAAACCCGAAAATGAAAGTTCTGAAATCTGCACCAAGAAAATTTTGAACACTTGCAACTTATTCTTTTGATTTTCCAGTGCTTCAAACAGGATCATAAGAACGCGAAATAGATGGAAGGGTTTGTTTTCAGACCAAAATATGGAGTAAAACATGAAAACTTAATTGAAAAGAATTACTCTAGACACCCAAAATGAAGAACAATTAAAAAAAATATTGGAATTTGAAGAACTCGTGAAAACTGACCTTGAGAACTTCTTCCTAAGAACTTTAGAACTTCCACTCTCCCACTAATTTTATATTACTTTTTGTAGAGAAAGAGAATATGGATATTGATTTGGTTTGAAATTGTTCTTGCAGGATAAACTACTATGCTTCTACGGTTCTACCTCTTCCTCCATAGCTGAGATTAGTTAGCTTCTCCACCTCCTGATTAAAAATTCCATCCCTTAGTAAGAGTCATCCACCTTATGCTTTGATAGCCAATATTAATAAGCACACTAGGGTGCTCACACATCACTTGGGTGAAGATTTTTATGAAGAACATAGAACAAAGAAAAACAATGAAGCAAAGGTTGCTGGAAACGGTGATCATACTGACATTGTTCTTTGGGCTACAATATTGTTGATCTTAAAAACATAGTTTCAGTCCGAATAAGTGAAAGCCACAACATATAAAATTTGAGCTAACAAAATTCACGATATTACGTGTGTGTGCGCACGCTATATATATATATATATATATATAGGTTCTAAAATACGGGTCTTTACACACCTAGCAATCAATTTACTTTTTAAAGCAAAGTCTAGTTCATCAGTCTGTTAAGCAACTCAGTACTAAACTATATTTGTCCTGTCTTTCAAATTTTAAAAATATACGTTTATATACATCAGATAACAGTATAACAAAATTAGTAACTTGTAAACCTTATCAGAGTTCCAATTTAAAATGAATCAAGGCAATTAACTCAGTTAACAATATAATGACGCTAGGCAGTAAGTAAATTTGTGAATTCAAAAGTAATAAAACACAAACTTTTTCATCATAAGAAATAAACCTCACGGATGTGATCTTTACAACAGATTTCCAATGTTTCATGATTTAAACTACCTGAGAAATCCTGCCATACTACCAACGCTACAAATTCATTCATTCAAGAAGATAGCATGGCTTACCCTATACATTCAAATCAAAGAAATAATTCAGCATTGCACATATACCGAACCTTGCTAAGTGGTAGCGGCCTTGATAGCTCTCTGCAATTCAGACTCCACATCAACAGCATGATTGGTAGGCTTTTTCTGTTCCATTTGTGCATTCTCTTCTCTGACCTTCTTCTTGTTCCTCCACTGTTCGAACCCCCCAGAAGTCTCACTCGAAGGCGGCAGCAATCTCTTCCCAACAACATCATTCTTCTCACTATGAAAACGCTTTGAAGAAACTCCAAACTTCATATCCTCCAACCTCTGCTTCATCTCCCTATTTTCCTTCTCCAAGACCTCCAAATCCCTTTTCATCCAAAAGCACATCCCCTTTAACAACTCCATGTCACCCACATTGCCCTCAGAACTCTTCTCCTCCTCAACCTTCACCTCCTCAATTCTCTCAATACCAATCTTATTCACTGTCAAATAAGGCATCGTTTTACCAAACTTTGCAGGAAGATTCACACCCCAGCGCATATTCACCACCAAACTTTTTGTGACCGGCAACACAGTCCTTGCCATCACAGCAATTCCAGAAAACAACCCATCTTTCCCACCATTCTTCCAACCCAACGACCTCTCCGCCGCAGACCCAATTCCACCATTCGAATGAGCTCCACAATTATCCCTAAATTCGCCATTTTTGGCGCCGGAAGGTTCCAACCTCAGCTCCTGCCATACAGATGACCCTTCAGAGACAAGCCCATTACCAAAACCACCATTTAAAGGAGACCCAGAATCCAAATGGTCACCAACATCGGAGGAAGACCCAGAAATTTGTTTGAAATTAGGGTCGGAAAAGGTAGATTTTTTGAGTGAAAAGTTGCCAAATTGGGGCTTGATGTGGAGAGAGAAAGTGGGGTTTGTGTGGGAGAGAGAGAATTGAGCAGTGAAAACAAGAGGGGAGTTTTTTGGGGAGCCAAAGAGGCCAAGACCAGACTTGAGGGAGAGAGAGAAAGGGGAGGGTGCGGTGGAGGAGTGAGAGTAAGAGAGTCTGACGGAAGGGCCAGAAGAGAAGTTGGAGGAGAGAGAAAATGAGAGGTGAGAGGAAGACTTGGTGGCGGCGGCGGCGGATGAAATGGTGGCGATGGAAGAAGTAAAAGGTTGGTTGAATATGGTTACGGGTACCTTTGCCTTTATCAGTGGGTTGCGGTGGTACTGGAACTCTTGTTGGTCTTCTGGACGCTTGAGGGAGATCTTCATCTCCGTGTGCGTGTTGGGTTCAACTGATCGAGAGGGTTTTTCTCTCTGTCTCTAAGGAGCAACTGAAGCAGGTACTTGATTGGGTTGGGACTCGGAAGTACAGGAAAGGGAGAGCCGCATGGGTTCCTTTCTGGGAAACTTGAAATTGAAAAACAATGATTACTTTTGGGCTTCCAAGCTTAACTATTTTTGTTCAATTTTGTTGGTTGATTTTTTTTAATTTATTTAATTTAATAGGCAAACATAAAAAGAGGTGTGTGACAATTGTTTTCGTTTTGTCGAGTAACCCTTATTTATCCACCAAACACTTGTCCATTCAATTAGAAAATAAATTGATTATCTCGTGTCTGAATTCTCTTTCTGTAATTTAAATGAATTTAATGTAAATAATTTTTTCGTTTATAAAAATCTCTCTCAAATCAACTTAAAATCATGTTTTTTGAGAAAAAAAACTTAAACTCATGTTAAACACAAGAGAATCTCTTATGTACCCAAGATATCACGTCACTATGACTTTTACCAATCAAAGTGAGTGTTAAATTTTTTTGAGAAGAGCTTTGGCTCCTTAAGGTTAAGGAGGAATTTCTCTTACACTTTGTGACCTATTCACAGAATTTCGTGCTTATAATTGAAATAATTCATATTATAAATCATTCTATGAAAATCATCGCAGTAAAAAATCAATTAAAATTAAGATCTCTTAGAAAATTAATAGTAGCAAATAGATAGATGGTTTATAATACTTTTATTGTAACATCCCACATCGTCCAATGAAGTGGATCCTGTAAGCCTTATATGTATATTCACATCTCTACCTAGCACGAGGCCTTTTAGGAGCTTACTGGCTTCGGGTTCCATCGGAACTCCGAAGTTAAGCGAGTAGCGCGCGAGAGCACTCCCATGGAGTTTTCGTGTGAGTTCCTAGAAACAAAACCGTGAGGGTGTGGTCGGGGCCCAAAGCAGACAATATTATGTTACGGTGGAATCGAGCCCGGGATGTGGTGGGGCCCGGGTCGGGATGTGACATTTACTGAATTTGTCTATTCATTTTTATAAAGCTTGATGATTAAACAATCTTACGTTTAGTTGATTTTTTGCAGAGATAATTTTTACATAATGTTTTATTATATAAACAATTTTGATCATAAATACAAAGTTTTGTAAATATATCACGATGTACTTTAAGGAGAAATTTTTCCTCAATTCTTGAAGAGCCAAGTTTTTCTTTATCTTATTGATCTTTTCTCTCCTCTTATAAACAAATAGACTTTCCACGTTGAAATATCACACTCACAAACAAAAACAATAATTAAACACAGGTAGATATACGTGGGGCTCGCGTGTGGATATGCATTATCAAACTCATGGACTAATTTTTTTTTTTTTTTTAATGGACTATTTTTTTTTAAAGGGAACAATTAGTTGTAAGTTACTGTTATCTACCATTTTAAAAGTCAATTGGCTAAATGACTTAATGAGCAAGATAAAGGAGTCTTAGCCCAACCAACGAGGACATCACACGTATTCTAATGAATTGCGTCAAGTTTAAATTTGCTACTATATAAAGACATGACAACCGACTATAAAAAAGTAATTGTTCGTCTTTCACAAAACTAGAGCGTTCGTATATATCCATTCATCAACTCTAACTTGGGCACCATCAAAACCTTGGCTCACACCACAACAATATGACAAGATCTAACCTGTTTATTGATCTTTTGGTTGCATGGGCACTTGAATAATTTCATGTGTGGAATTCGTTCGCAAAAAGAAAAATTAAAAAGGAAATGATTTTTTGCACACCTATTATTTATTAAAAAGTTGTGGAGAATAAGAAAAATGAGTCCCAATTAAAATTGAGAGTGATAGAAGTGTCTAGGATCCTCGTTATGCCTGGCTAATAAGGCTATGCAGCACCTGCCTTTATTTTTCTTTCATTTTGTTTTCTAGTGTAAGATGATAAGGGGACCATACAGATACAGAACATGATTTTCTTTGTTTTTATTTTTATTTTTAATATGCTCTTTCTCTCATAGATTTATAGAATATGCTTCTGTGATCAGAATTTTTTGAGCACCTGGTATAACAGATATTTTCATGTCCGATCGCCACATGTCCATTTGACCCCTAATATTAGAGAATCTTTGTGAGTATCTGTAAATCCTCAAATCATATCTAAAAACTTGCCACATGATGTACGGTGAACGGACATGATTAAATCATATCTAAAAACTTGCTACATGATGTACGGTAAACGGACATAATTTGAGAATCCCCAGAATCTTCATTCAAAATTAGAATGCTCACTGCAACGAGAGAGAGAGAGTCAAAGACTACACGTCGTTTATTTGACCAAATTGTCAGTGTGTAGTATGCTTAGAATGGGATGACAATAATGCGATGAGTGTTTTTAAATGATCGAAGAATTTTTGGAAAATATTTTTAAAATAAATTATATTTTTAGGTAAAATTCAATATAGATTTTAGAAAAATACTTTAAATATTTTCTGTAACATGTACATATTTGATCATTCTTCTGAAAAGTATTTAAAATGTTTTTGAAACTCAAACAATTTTATCAAAAACGTTTTTTAACATTTTAAAAACACTTTTAAACGAGCCTGCAAATCAATTACTGTAACTGTCGTGTTGTGTATATAGGGGCTCCATTCGATACACGGTGCTCCATTAAGTTTTATTAAAATATTATATATGTATATTATTATTATTATTATTATAAGCATAAAACATAATAAACACCCCATATACTATTATAGCAACATTAAGTACTATAATAACACTTTATATTTTTGAACAAATGAGACTAAGGGGCAGGAAACTGGGTTGAGCTTCACAGTAGCGGTTGAACAAGAATATAATTAGAACGTAGTACTAAATGACGAATTCTATGAAATTAAAAAAAAATAAAAAAATAAAAAAAATAAAAAGTAGGAAGGGGACCCTGCAGATTCTAGACCGAGAGAGAAAAATCAGTCCCAACAGTCCGAATCCTGGACCGACGTCTTCCTTTTCATTTGCTCCAAGCCTCCAACGAGACACTCTCTCGTCCTCCTGTTTCCCTCTCCTCCTTCACCACAAAAATCTCTCTCTCTCTCACTTCATTCCTATCATCTCATAAAATTTCTTTCTTTCCCTCTCTCTCTCTCCAAGCTTTTCTTCAATGGCCACTCTTAATGTTCCCGCGAGAATGTCAGTCTTGAAACCTGGCAAGACTAAGGCCGCTGATCGATTGGCTTCCTCCAAGTGCCTGACTGGTTCCGTTGGGTTCGACTGCCGACCCAGAGGAAAATATGCCAACATCCACAAGAACCACAAGCAATTTTTTACTGTTAAATCAATTGGGATCACCCAGGACAGCAGCAGAGGCCATGTCAACGGTCCTCTTGGTGGCGTCGTAAGCTTTCTTTTTCTTGTTTCTGTTTTCCTTTGTTCCAAGTACTTTTTCCTTGCTTTTCCTAATACGGTTTTTTAACGGCTGTTGATTTTGTTGAAAGCGTTAATCCTTGTTGAGTAATTAAGGGACCTTGCGCATGCTTATAAAGAATTGGGTACTCCCCCTTGCCAATAGGTTTTATGGTTGAACCATAGCTTCCTTTCTGGTATTAGAGCATGTTATCCACGTGTTGAGGGCAACGGCCCACCTGCTATGTTGTCTAGGATTAAACGGCCGCACGTGCGAGGGGTGTGTTGAGAGTGTGAATCCCATGTTGGGGAATTAAAGGATGTTGCATGTACTTGGAAGGAGTTGTGTTACGCCCCATATTGTGAATTAGTTTTACGATGTAACCTTAATTTTGCCTCGGATTTTATGGGTAAACTGTGAAAACTTCAAACTTTGAGATCATGGTTTTTTTAATTGTTAGGCAACTGAGCAGAAATCGATTCCTTTACTTCAACTAGACTTAAAATCACCTATAGCGTTTACTTATATAATGATATTGTTCTGTTTGGTTGCTGAGAAAGTTTATGATAAATGAACAATGCCTGTTCCTTTTAATTGGCTGAAAACAGCTTTTCGGGGATTGTTAAATTGTTTACAGCATACAATTTGTGAAATATGCTAAATGGATAGTAATGCATTGGGTGCTTACATACTTTTTTCCAGCTTTGTTATCTTTTGTAGTGAAATTTGTGTGTGCCATGAGAGGGCAGTTAATTGTATCAACCATGTGTAATAAATCTATAACCTTGAAAGTGTATTGTTTCAGGGGAATCTGGACTCAACTTTTGAACTTCAGTCTGATGAGTATGTTGTGGGCCAGCCGAAGGTATTTTCAGATGGTCAAAGAAAAACTAAGATAGTATGTACGATTGGTCCCTCGACAAGCTCACGTGAAATGATATGGAAACTGGCGGAAACTGGAATGAACGTCGCACGTTTGAATATGTCACATGGAGACCATGCATCTCATCAGAAAACCATTGAACTTGTCAAAGAATACAATTCTCAATTTGAAGACAAGGTTGTAGCAATAATGCTGGACACCAAGGTATGCTGAGCACAGTTTTCTTTCATTCTTTACCTGGTTATAGCCTATTTAACTTATAGCTAAGAGCACAGATTTTTCCAATTGAGAATGGCTGCATTGGATGCTACAATCATTTCATATGCCGTGGATCAAACTAGGATTTGATTCATAATTTAAAAGTTCTCATTTCCTTATATATGATTTTGTATTTTCTTGAACTCAAATTTTCTGTTTCATGTAAACTTTGATTATATTTACCGTAGAAGACTACTCCCAGTTTGTGGTCTGTATACTTCAAACTCTGTACAGGAGCTGGAGTTTTGTCTTTCTAGTTTTAAACTTTCTTTAACGTTTACCTATGTGTTAATTTGGATTGGTATTCTCAAATTTCTGCTGCACTACTCATAAGAGAACACTCATATTTATCACATTGTATGCAATTTTTAGTGTCTTCTGTGTCAAGGAATTAGTATCTAATTCTCATTCGTTCTTCTTTTCTTTTGATGCAAAACTTTTGAGGTTATAGTTGTTATATAGGTTTTCATTCTTCATGCAGGGTCCTGAGGTTAGGAGTGGAGATGTACCACAGCCGATTCTACTTAAAGAAGGACAAGAGTTTAACTTTACAATTAAAAGGGGAGTTAGCACTGCGGACACTGTTAGCGTAAACTATGACGGCTTTGTGAATGACGTGGAGGTTGGTGACATTATTCTAGTTGATGGTAAGCATGTTGTATCTCTTGGGTGATAAACTTGTCAATGATTTAATTTTTTTTCGTTTTTCATCCCTTGTGATATGGTCATGTAACTAAAGTGTCAGAAATATGGAAAATCAAGTTGTTCACTCTTTCGAGTTCATGAAAGAAATTTAGGGCCCTTGTTTATGCACGTAATTCCACTAAGATTTAAAATTCTGTAACTGAGATGTAATTATGCTATAGATTAATGTCTTGTTGAACTGCTGTGCATTATAACTTATTGCTTTGGTTAACTTTGATGGGAAATGCCATATTATAGACTAGACTTGTTTTATAATTAGCTGCTGTTGTTAACCTCAATTTGTTGGGATAGGAGATAGCAAAAAAGAACTTGCACTAATTCTTACTGCTCTAGATGCAATGGGAGTAATGTCATACTGAGTGAAAGATACCTTATATCAGGATTCGGGAGTGAACAAGTCAGTCCTTTGATATAAATAGAGTCATGTTCTTTTACCAGGTATCTAGCATGCTATTTTCTTTAGAAAGAAGAAAGGAATCCACCTGATGAGTGATCTAGATTGACATGTTACTATGTGATAAGGAACATTTGTACACACACATACTAGTAAATGGATTAGGTGCAAGAACAAAAGGATGGTAGAAATGGACTTTACTATTTTCAAGAGTGTAGTGTGGATGTCCGCTCCTGAAATTGCCTCATTATATAAATAACAGCAAAGATTCCGAAGATGGACCCCTCTTTTGAAGAAATGAAAGGGATCACATGTGGGCCCACACCCCAATTTGTCCGATAATCTGAACCGTCCCTTCCGGGTCATCATTCAAAGATCACTTTTTCTTTAAATATCAGCCAAATTGGTAATGCGGATAATCACTTTGATAATGATTAGTACAGTGCTCTTGACAAATACTTAAATTGTAATGAGGTTAATCACATTGATAATGAGTATGATCACATGGCTAAGCGATTCCTGATTTGGCTGATTTTCGCAGGAGTGATTCTTAATTGGAGACCTAAAATTTGACTGGTTCGGATCATTAGACCAAATTACGGGGTAGGCCATCAATGTTGTACATTCCATTTCTTGCAAAGAGGGATCCCTCTTAAGAAGGAATGGGACTCTATATTTATCTCAGAGTGTTTTTTGACTCAGTAAATTCAACTAGTTGTAACTGTTACTTTAGACTGTTGGTTAGGGCTTCTTGAATGGATTCTTAAAGCTCATTAACTATGTTTTAACAGAGCGTTTTTCTCAAACCCCATCACCCCGCCCCTTGTCTTTATCTACTCATTTGTTTAAGGGACCTGATGATATGTCATGTCATTGTGCTAGGTGGAATGATGTCTTTAGCTGTAAAGTCAAAGACAAAAGATGTGGTTAAATGTGTGGTAGTTGATGGTGGAGAACTAAAATCAAGGCGCCATCTAAACGTGCGTGGAAAAAGTGCAACTCTGCCTTCAATAACAGGTATCTTCAGTGTTAATGGTATTTATACGATCACCATTTTCCATTTTGTGCCCAAGGAGGCACATCACTTCAATTTAGTGGTCTGCCATATTGGTCCCTTCTACAGAAAAGGACTGGGAAGATATCAAGTTTGGAGTGGACAATGGAGTTGATTTCTATGCTGTATCATTTGTAAAAAGTGCTGCAGTGGTACACGAGTTGAAAGATTATCTCAAAGGTAAACTTTTTAATTTCTTATCAGTTTATCCAATAACATTTTTTTCCTTGTGGTCGTTTATAGTACACTTCTAAACTGAATTTATGCACCCCTTCTGTAGGTTGCAATGCAGATATTCATGTTATTGTAAAAATAGAAAGCGCAGACTCTATACCAAATCTTCATTCAATAATTTCTGCATCTGACGGGGTTCGTATTTTTTCATAACATACCCTTAAATCTTTACCATCAGAAATGGTATTTATCTAATTTTATTTTTTAATCGGTTGACTTTATAGGCGATGATTGCTCGTGGAGACCTTGGAGCTGAGCTGCCAATTGAGGAAGTTCCTCTGTTGCAGGTAATTTGATCACTGTTGTATTTTTCCACTTCCAATGTATCTTAGCTAGAGCATTGAGTGGAGAATTATGTGACTGGACTTTGAGTTACCTAGGTCGTATCTTGGGTGACAATTTATGTGCCTTGATCTCTTGGCATCAACTAATTGAAAAGGTCCAAAGAAAATTGGAATGAAGGAAAAGGTTGCCTTTCGAGGGGCAGGCTTACCCTAATTCAGTTGGTGCTGAGTAAGCATGCCTACCTTTCATTCTCCATTTTTCTTGTGGTGATTAGGGTATCTAAGATCTTAGGAAAATTGACGAGGAATTTCCTTGTGGAGAGGGCACGAAGGATCATTTGACTGGCTGGAACCTAGTGCAGAAACATGGGGAGAAGGAATAACTGAATTATATTCTATCTAAGTGCATTTCTTAATTCTGACCCTCGTCGTATTAAAACCTTAATTTCTATAAATTAAATTTTATTGATGGATTGTGAACCTCATTCTGTAATTAAGTATTCTGTATCTTCACAGGAGGACATCATTAGAAGGTGTCGCAATGTGCAGAAACCAGTGATTGTAGCAACAAACATGCTGGAGAGCATGATTGGCCATCCTACGCCGACCAGGGCAGAAGTCTCTGACATTGCAATTGCAGTAAGAGCAGGTGCTGATGCAATCATGCTTTCTGGAGAAACTGCCCATGGAAAGTAAGTCTTACTTGTGGTGTTATTTTTTAATTCAATCTTTGGATGATCAACAACGATTTTTATTGCCTTATCAATTTTTTGCAAATATCTATAATATCAATTGTCCCACTAATTTATTTATTGCATTTTGACATTATTTTATTGGAAAATTTTGTTTGCACTGCCTGACTACCTTATATTTCATTCCCGGTAAGATACAGTTAGTGCTTAATTTATTCACTTTGTGTGCTGGTCCTGGTTGTAATTTGGTTATCTCATGCATCAGTTTGTCAGGGTTGTTTTCGGATTGTGAGCTTGTTATACCATTACATCAAAGATGAATTAGATTGGTTTAAATGTCCCTCCCCCTCCCCCCCTCCTCCCCCTTCTCTGTTTTCCCTCCTTCCTCTTTAAGTTAGAAACTGAGTTTGTTTACCGCATGACCAATTCAGTTGTTTCCATACGAAGGTTTGTAGTAGTGAGAGAGCTAGTAATCCTATATTTGGGTTAATTTTTTCACTTTAACAGGGGATTCTTATTTGAAAACCTTGGGTTATTCTGTTTATTTTGTTTTCTCTTGTGCATGGCTTAAGTTATTTGTTGGTTTGATTCAAAAATGGAACCGGCTTGTATTTCAACCGCTTATATTATGTGGACTAATTGTGAAAGTGTTTTTATAAATTCCAAATATAGGTATCCGTTGAAGGCTGTCAAAGTTATGCATACTGTAGCATTAAGGACTGAGTCAAGTCTTCCAATTAGCACTATTCCTCCAATACAACTGAGGACCTTTAAGGTATGCGTTGATTTCTTTTTGGTCTGATATTTTTTGCATGTGTTTACGGAATTTCTTGGTGACGCGTTGATTGAATTTAAATATTTTGCATATGCTGCGGTTAGCCTGATTTAATCTAATTATTTAGTGGATGCTTTTCACAGAAACATATGGGGGAAATGTTTGCCTTCCATTCCACAACTATAGCAAACAGTCTCAATACACCCATCATTGTTTTCACAAGGACAGGTTCCATGGCTGTGCTTTTAAGCCATTATCGTCCTTGCTCAACAATCTTTGCCTTCACTAACGAGTAAGCCCAGTATCCAAATAAGTTGTGGTATTCTTTTCGGGTCACAAGTTGATGGCAAGCCTTTTCTAAAAACAACTTTTACTTTAGTGTTGGTTTGTGCTTGTACTTTGGATGAAATAGATTGGAAATCCTTGTATAATCTAAAGTTGTTTTCTCCATCCATTCTTAAATTTGTGACACAATTTTGTGCTTAGCAGAGAGAGAATTAAGCAGAGATTGGTTCTTTATCACGGTGTCCGCCCCATATATATGCGGTTCTCAAATGATGCGGAGGAGACTTTCTCAAGAGCAATAAAGCTACTAGTGGTTAGTGATTACTGGTGTTGCAATCTGCCTCTTCATTATCTGCTTTGATTGTCATTGTATGTGATCAAAATGTATACATATGTTCATGCACAGGCTAAGGATCTTTTGAAAGAGGGACAGTTTGTAACTCTCGTCCAAAGCGGTGCACAACCAATCTGGCGTAAAGAGTCTTCTCACCATATCCAAGTTCGTAAAGTTGAAGGCTGATTTCAAACCTGTGAGGAATTTTCTTTTTATAGCTGCTAGTATTTGAATCGAAGTTTCAGTTCAACTAGTTGATAAATCTTGTGAAGTATCGTTCCCAGAATGGCTGAAAAAAGACTATCAACTTCGTGTCCAATACTGTAGAGCAATTGTGTCACTAAGAATTTTAGACGTTTCAACGGTGTCCTGTAAATTTTGGAATGAATCTGTATATATGGAAAGAGTGAAATCATTACGCATGACCATGTTTAGTCAACCTATGGCAGATCAAGCTATGGTTTCTGTGATATAGTTTCCTCTTTTTAGTGCTGTTTTCGGTATATGCTTTAATGTTTATTCGCCGTAGCTGTCTTCTAACAGGAAGAGAATTGTTTTGTATGAGAGTTATGCAGAGCCTAGTGCTAGTCTATCAAGTTCAAAGTGTCCCATGATATTACAATAGGTTTCTCTACAAGCACATGTTAATTCTATGGCTAGCAGTAAAACAAACAAATGAGAATGAGGGGAAATCTGAGACCTAAACCAAAAGTTACCCACCAAACAAGCCTGGATTGAAAAAAGTACGGTGCTGGTGCAGCGCGGATGCGAAGAGAACGCCAACTTTGTGCCAAACTCGTTCTTCTTATTTAATATAAGTTGCTAGCATATGTTGTTAACATGTCTGCTTGATTTGAACTTATACATCAGACTTTCAAGTTTCCTTGATCATCATCTACTTCAAATCTTCCCTCCAACTTGATGTTCTTATACCACTTGGCGCATACAATGTAGACTATCAAATCTATTAATGTCAAGCCAGCTAAGAGGAAGTAAAACCTATCAAGGTGACCCCTGTTGAGGTTTCCGGGGATCCATCCGGGCATGTGATCCTCAGTCGAAAACTTCATGACCACGCTCACGAGAAAGGTGCTAAAGTAGTTACCGAGCGAGATGGATGTCATGCACAGGGCGCTTCCAAAGCTCTTCAGCCCATCTGGTGTTTGTGCATTGAAGAACTCCAGTTGGCCCACATACATGAAAACTTCTGAAGCTCCTATGCATGCATACTGAGGAATTTGCCAGAAGATGCTTAAGGAGCTTGAGCCGTCACAATGCGGGCATTCTTTATCCGCATACTTTAGTCTATAGCACTCAACGATTCCTGCTGAAAGCATTGCCAGGACTGCTATAACAAGGCCAACACCCATTCGTTGAAGCTCGGTAAGCCCTTTAGCATCTGATTTCTTTATTCTGCCTACAAACGGGTCTATAATCCGTCGGTAAATGAAAATGAAAACTGCCACGCTGATGATGTCGAAGCTGGACATGCTCGCTGGTGGGATGCTGAAGTTTGGAATGGTAGTTTTCATGGCAGCTCCCTGCTCTACAAAGAGGGAAGCCATTTGTGTAAAAACGACTGAGTAGATAATTGTGCAGAGCCATATTGGGAGTAATCTTAAAATGCATTTCACTTCTTCCACTTGTGAGATCGGGCAGAGACGCCACGGGCTGCGAATGCCTTGCTTCTGGTAGTCTAAATCTCTTGATGAGATGTATGCAGCCCTGTCCAAGAACCTGCAGTTAATGTCGATGGAAATGAGTTAGCTCTGTATTTCAGTAGTAAAAAGAATTAGGTAAATTAGCGAAGTTAAGAACGTAGAATGATTTAATGAGTTTAAGTTATACTCCTACTTGAATCCATGGGTGTAGAGGATCTTTCGGTTGCTAATCGAAGACTCATTGTTACTCTCATCGTACAAGTCCTGTTCACCTTGTGGCATATGCGCCCTGCATTTCTTCATCGCTGCAACTAAGACTTGGCAAAACCTCGAGAGGGGATTGCCATTGGGGTTGAAGTGTCTGTACCTAGCAGTCCCACCAAGGAACAAGACCAATGCTGCAAATGCTGACGCTGCGGATGCCCAGAACCCAATAGCCCAAACTCCTTCATCCTCGAAGAATCCTAATATGGTGTTGGAGAAAAGGGGACCGAGGTTCATAGCCAGGTAGAAGTAGCTGAAAAACGCCACCTTTGCGAGCCCTTCCTTGCTGTGCTCCTCATCGTACTGATCAGCTCCAAATGTTGCAATGTTTGGTTGGTACCCACCATATCCTAGGGCAATTAGGTAGATAGAGAGGTAGAACAGCCAAATTTTCCAGCTCGAATGAGATCCACATGGATTTGCTTTGCTGCCACAACCTTTAGGGTTCAGCAAGAAGAGCTGCGAGGACAGCGACAACGATACCAGACCCTGTTGTCAAATGCACGCAAGTGTCATAAACATCGCATGGAAAGGAAAAGTAAGTAATACACAAGGTAATGCGTTTAGTCGCAAATTCAAAACAGAAGCAACAACAACAACAAAACCTTATCCTACTAGGTGGGGTTGACTGATACTTACGATGACAAAGATGAGTTGAAAAATGGAACAAGTTTTGTATCTTCCCCAGTACGAATCACTGAGGAAAGCACCAACAAGAGAGAAGATGTAAACTGTTCCGGTCCATTTGCTCACGTTGTTAGCAGCCGTCGCATTGTCCTGTTGCAACACCCTCGTTAAGTATAAGACCAAGTTCACCCCGACTCCGAAGAATGCTAGGGTAGCCAGACCTTGATTCACTGGTTTTTCATTGAACGATACATTTAAAGAAAAGGGTCAGAAGGTTATGATTCAAAAATATACAACGAGTTGTGTCTAAATTATTTATGTCAACCATCTTTGGTTACATGAATTCTTATATAAGTTTGCTTCCATGTATCAGTTTTCTTGTATTTCGATGAAATGAAACACAGTTTTTCATAGTTTTCACAAGGCGAAGAAAAAAGGCAATACTCATGCATGACGGTGTGGGTTCATACCCTGTCGGTGGCTAGTCTAACATTTAATCTAACAAAATCTATTGTTTGATCAAAAAAAAAAAAAAAAAAAAAAAGAAAAAAGAAAAAAAAAAGAACAAAGATTCCAAAGGGCATCACTTTCAGGCTTTAGGTGATCAGAGAAATCGCTTTCCGAGTTGCTTACACAAAGCAGTCAAGACACAAGGATTTTAAGAAATTTGGAAAAGAGAAATCTCTCCGAAAACGTTTCGAGAACAAAATCGAAACCCGTATATGGCTAGAATTGATGAAAAGCATGTTCGACAGGTCTCAATTATTAATAATTGGTCCGCCTTCGGTTTCAATCACAGTTAACCGAAATCAGACTCTTCCTTGCTCCCACCAGATGATCGGCCGGTCATTAATAAGCATCAGTCATCATACATGTGCACTCAAACTATATATTTTGCTACTTGACAAGCACAGCAAAGACAACCACATACAGAGGCTCTCTTTAAAAGAGTGACAGAAAGCGCCATAAGAAAATGCTTAAGTCGTAAAGCATGCACTTATAGATTGATTAGGTTCATGTGCAACAGTGAAATTAATGGATGTGTGGCCTGTAACCATTTCACTACCTAATAGTCTTGCTTTCAATCCTTTGTATATATACATACACATATATACACATACATATTATATTATATTATATATACCTATAATATTTTAAAAGAAAAGTTGATTGGTTTTTTCCTTTAACACCAAAATGAAAAAAAGCTTTAGGGCGTGACCAAGTTATTTGATTTACAATCATGCTTTGAAATATTGTATAAGGACCTAATTTTACACAACTATAGTAGTATGGTGCAAAGTAGGATATCATAAACCCAATGATAATATTTAATACAACTAAATTCGACAAAATTAAGCGACAAACCTATGTGTTTATAACGTGTTTGTGTCATGATAGTTTTTTTATTTATTTATGAAAGTTGTAGTATGCTTTGTAAAATACAGACATGCATAAAATATATGACATCATATATGTATGAAGATATTTGATTAATTTAGAAGAAATAAAAACTATATCAATGAGATGACACAAATGCTATTTTTGTACTTCAATCATGTACCTTTATTCATTTTCTTTGTTTTTGTTTCTTTTTTGTTTTATTTTTGTCTGATATTAAAAATTAAAAATTAGAAGTATCAACACAAAGTGAAAATGATAATAAATAAAACTGAGAGATGAACCAAGACATATTAACAGGGATCGTTCGAAGTTTGGGTTCTAGCTCCTGCCAAAATTTTAACAAAGATTCTGTAACGTAAATTTTCAAAAAAGACACGTGTCGATAATTCATGTAATGCAAGATTAAGACACTTATTACGTCTGGCACGCATTACTTTGAATGCATGCTTTCCTCACCTTCACTCCCTCTCCTCAGTTCTCTTGTCATGTCGTCTACCCAGTTCTTCAGTTCTGAGTCACTTCAATTAAAGTAGAACTGAAGGCTAAATAATAAAACGTCTTATGTCTCTTTGCATGAAAATGATTCACCGACACTTAGCATTTCGGTATAATAAAATCATGTTATGTGCAAATAAAGTCGCACATAATATTATATTATTTAATTGACTCGCCGTGGTCCTGTTTCTAAATAATGTTTTTCCTCTCGCGTCAGCTATCAATGTCTATCTTTGAAATGGTGATGGGCTGGCTATAACCCAGCATGCAGCAACACTCCTGCAACACTCGGTTTGGTTTTCAGTGCCAAATGTTGCAATTTCCTTCCACTTATATTGTCCTTTTCCCTTTCACCTTATTTATTGAGAATCACACCTCTCTTCTTCAACCGCTTATCTATAAACAAGTATTCATTTCAGCAGAAAGACCCTATCTATCCAATTTGTTTCAAAAATTCTTGAGAAAAGAAAAAATAAAAGCCACCCAAAAGTAGAGGACCTTGAGACTAACCAATTTAACAATCATATGATATAAACAAAAAAGAAAAAAGAAGTGTGCTTACTACATACAAAAACCAGAAAAGAAAAATCGACTAAGTAATTTATCTTGTTTGTTTTGAATATTATTTTTTCTTGAATTTTTGTTATAACTTATTTCAAAAGGTTTGGTGATATGGAGCTTACAAAGTATAATGATTCCAGCAACCCATCTTCCAGATTTTGCTCTGATTGCAGGGCGGCCATGCATATCAACCGTACCATCAAGAGTACATGCATCTTGATCTTCTTTGAACTGACCCTGAAAAAGAAAAGGGAAATGTTAATAAACAAATAAATAAACATAGTTACTAGTTTTACACTTATTTTTCGCACAACAATCTTGCTATACTCCAAGAATGCATGTTGTCTAATATTTCTTGAGGAGCAAAAAGAAAGTGGTGCTTGCTCCGAGAATTTAACATCATATAAGAAGAAAAATTAAGAAAAATGAAGCTTGTGAAGGAGAGCAGGCAGGCTGGAGAGAGAGAGAGAGAGAGAGAGAGAGAGAGAGAGAGAGAGATCATTGTTAATTTCTAATATGTGCTCACCTCCTTGCAGACCTCTAAGCAAGCCATTAGTTTTTCTTAAAGAGAGAATTGAGGGAATGGCGTGCAGAGGATGAGACGGGAGAGGAAGGTGGTGGTGAGTGACAGTTTGCTAAATGAGAGAATTAGAACTTGGACAAACAAAGAGGGGGGGAGGAGTTATTATATAAAGAAAGGGAGGGGAGAATAAACGGCGGAGATTTAAGAGAAGAAAAAGTGGGGCCACCCACTTGACCAAATGATCCAATATTGTGTACGTGCAATTTGTCTGGCTGAGTATTTTGAAGTTAAGAAACAAACCTGGCTTAAGCTAGTTCATTAAAGTAGTCTGTTTGAATTGAGTAGTGAAGTTAAGAAATAAATATGGGTTAAGTTAGTTGTCAATTAAAGTAGTATGACAATCTATTTGAATTGAGTAGTGAAGTTCATAAATATATATATAGATTAACAGATTAAGTAAATTAATCAAAATAGCTTGTTCATGTATGTGAACTCAATTTTGAATAACCTTAATGACATATTAGAGTAGTTTAGATCAACACTAAAAATAAATAAAACGAAAAATTAGGTTCTCATCCCTATTTTTCCAACTCCATTGATTAAAACCTTCTTTCTTTTCAATTTTTGATTAAGGTTCTTAAATTTTAATAAATTCCATTAATTATTTCAATATTAAATATTTTTTATTTCTAAATATATACATTTAGTGTTAGAAATGTTACATTTAGTATATTTATATTTATGGCTAAATTTTTTATGATATATTTTTATTTTTAGTTTGTACCCATTTTTAATTTGCAACCCTTTTTTTCATTTGTACCAATTTTCTTTTCAGTTTTAATTTGTATCCGTATATTAATTCATTTTTGTGCCCATAATTTTTATACTTTTATTTGTATTTGTACCTATATTTTTTAATTTATTTGTACCCATTTTTAATTTTTTTAAATGTATTGATATGTATTTATTTAATGTTTTAAAATATCAATGGTTATTTTTTAAAATATGTTAATAATTATGTGGGTACATTATTATTATTATTATTTTTCGCTATAACTTTTGTGAAGAACAATATTACTCTAAAATTGATTTTTAAGTATTTATTATATTTTAAAAATATTATTTGAATTTGTCTAAATTTCCTAATTTTGGGGACTTTTTAGGGACACTAAATCCATAAATGCATGAGTCAAATCTTTTAAATGATGCTAAGGATCTTGATCAAAATATTTAAAAAAAAATAAGATTTCAGTCTAACAATTAGGTTGATTAGGACTGAAACTAAAATGACCCAAAATAAAACAAGTAGTAGAAAAGAAAGACAAAAAAAGAAAAGAAAAAAAGAGTATGCACTAACACCTTAATGACATATTTAAGGATCGCACAAACTGTTAGATGGGAAAACGAAACTGGGAAGGTTTTAATTAGGGTAGGCTTTTGTTATTTTTTATCAAAAAATACCGTGAGATGGGAAAACGAAACTGGGAAGGTTTTAATTAGGGTAGGCTTTTGTTATTTTTTTTATCAAAAAATAGTTTTGCATTTCTCTAGAATAAAGAGTCTTCTGAATAAATATTGACTCCTTGTTTTGTAACGTATTCCCGATTTGGTGATAGCTACCCAATGCTTTTCCATTTTTCCTGGAAATTTTTCATATATCATGTGATTATCTTCATACACTAACCATACTTTTCCTTTAATTGTTGGTACCTATTGCATATATCAAGAGACCCATTTGGATTTAATCCGACCGTTCTCTGTTAAGTGAATTTAATTTGTCATTAAGCTCGGAATATTCTTCAAGTTAAAAATATCTTCAGTTAGCTCAAGCAGTAAGAAATGATCAGCTAGCAAGGACTAGGGTTACTTCAAGAGGTAAGAAAGGATGAGATAACAAGTCAGAAGTAAGATAAGTTGCATGTGTTCGACAAAAAAAAAAAAAAAAAAAAAGAAAAGAAAAGAAAAAAAGAAGAAAGAAAAACAAGAAGATAAGTTGCATGTGGTCTAGTATCCTAGTAGATAAAATGTTGAGTTTCATTCATGCATCCCAGATTTGAAACTTCCCATGCTCTAAATTATTATAATAGTTTCGAACACTCTCCCTCTCCGTAATAATAATAAAATTAAAAAAAAAAAAAAGTAAGCTAAGTTCGGAGTTTGCTTTCTCTTATATAACCAAAACAATCTTCTATTTAAAGCATGTATTATTAAGTCTATCAGTTGCAAGTGATAAGAAAAATAAAAATCCGTTTTGTTGTTTTGATACCAAACATAAGAAAATGTGTATTCGATTTGCATCAAATATTTTTTACTTTGCTGCTCAATTATTAGAGAGGATAAGATTCCTTAATTACATTATGGTTCACATTTTAATTACACAAGTTCAATTCACATTCTATACTTCAAGGGAAATGGTGGGATTTTGAATATCTATCTTTTAAGTGGAAGTTTGATTATCTGCAACTAATAATGCTCATTAATTTGCACTTTATGCCTCTAGTTGCTAAGTCATTCTCTAACATGTACATGATAATATGCTCTTTATATATATATTTTTATAATTTTAATGCGTAAGGCGGCTGCTAATCAAGAGGCATTTTGTATAAACATATTCTACAATAAATGAGAGATTTGTGCTTAATGTTTCAGTGAATAGAATTATACTTATGGAAGCTAATATATGCTTCCTATTATATCACATTTGGTTTTTTAGGGAGGTGTCCTTAGCTCTTATGAATCATACAAGTTCTTCAAAAATCAAGAATATTATTTAATTATGATGCTCTTTGAAAACAAGACCAAAACGATTATTGTGCTTTAAGTACTTCAACTGGTGTATACAGTCAAGGATATAGAATCATTTTGAATGAGCATCTCCATAATTATATGTTCCCTATTTTTTTTGGTTAAATGTGTTTGCATATAAGCGATATTCTACACTAATATACACCAAAAGAGGAGAAGAGGGAGGAAGGGAGGGGGAGGGGTTGGATTTTGAACCTGAAATTATACACAGTGGGTTCAAGAGAAAATTTACCGCTTGCTTAGATCAAATTTTAACTAAAAATTTGTTTTAGGAGCACCCTATAAGATTCTTTCTCCAACAATGCTCTCTAATTTAGAGAATCATAATTAGTGTGAACTAAAAGAATTTGGCCGTGCATGTTTTACTATATATATATGAATTATGAAGTAGGAAACTTTCTTTAATCACTTAATTAGTGACAGCTCGTGACTTTAATAATGCAAATAATTAGGCAACAATCTTACTGGATGAGGAGACAACTGCCTTGCACAGAATAAGGATCTCCCAATAGTTGAGGATGACCTAATTATTCGAATTATGTTGGCTTTCTTTCCTATGAAACAATGCCTTACGTAGGAATAGCATTTCAGAATTTGGTTATTGTCAATATCTAATTCTCATAAAACTCCCGATTTTCAACTGATTTTGTGATATAAAAAAAGTGTACTCTATTTGAGAGGGGAAAACTATTCTCAACTTTTAAGTACTATTGTAAACTTTCCTAGTTTATGTGTGATTGTGTAAATCCTAGATTAGATTTGATTCTAGTTATCATTTCCTATTACAACTTGTATTCTTGGGGATGGAGGATTTCTTCTCCCCTTTATTACTATAAATAAAGGCACTATGTAGGAGGGATAACAACAACACACATTCCCCTGCAATTCCACAAACACATCTGTCTCTCAATCTCTCTCCTTGCCACTGGCCCCCTTCCCCTTGTCAGATAAAATAGGCTATAACATGTTATCAGTACGCTCCTATCGCTACGCTTAGGAATTTGACGAGGAAATTTTTTGCATCAAACCAGTTCATCCATATCATCACGCAATCAGGTTTTTATCTCGATATTTTTGCAGCCCTAATAGGTAAACATTCACCATAATGCATGACTCAACTTTACGTTTTTCGAATTTTAGATTCTACATAAATTGTGTATGCATTATATTCATAATTGTTGAATTATGTGAATTTGATATTTTCCATGAATTGCATCAAATATATGTACATGCATTAAACTATCAAATTGAATTGCATTGAATTGAAAAAAAAAAAAATTGAAATCAGGAATACCAGGGTTCTTCGAACCCCTGACCTTGAACTGTGCAAGCCACCAGCACCAGGCTAGCAGCCTGCGATGGCCTGGCGAGCCTAGCCCAGCATCAAAACCCAGGCTGTAAGCCTTGAATCGAAACGGTGCGTTTAGGTATCGTTTGGTATGCAGACGGGATGGGACGGGACAGGATGGAACGGAACAGAGCGGGAGCAAAGATGCCCTCGGATGGAAACAAGGAGGAAGAAGAAGAAGACGGAGAGGTTATAATTTTGTGTTCCACGGATGTGGAACGAGTCGTTCCAGGGGGTGAGGTGGAACGAAAATTCACCCAAAACTCGTCCCGTGGAACAGCTCGTTCCACCCGTTTTAGCCGCACCAAACGTGAGACGGAAAGCCTTGTCCCACTCTGTTCTGTCCCGTCCCATGTACCGAACGGTACCTTAATGCACCATTGTTCCGACCCACAGCCTGAAGCCCAGGTCCTCCCCGTCGATTTTTTCGATGAAACACGACTGACAATCGTGAAATTTGGACGAAACTCATCATCTTTACCAACGATTTCTCAAAATTCCAGAAGAATTTAATGAGTTTTCATTCGAATTCGATTGAATTCCTTTGGTTTTCTCTCCCCCGACGTTGAGATCTCATCTCCGTCGACAAAAACTTGGTTCTTCGTTGAATGATGGCGAGCACCAACCATGAACAGCTGCATAAAGCGGCGATGTTGACCCTATTCCGATAGATCTCCACACCCAGTGCTGCTGGGGTGGCCTGAGGTCCAAACACCTGAGCCCTCATGGGCCTCGGTTTTCCATACGGTTCATTCGCACAACACCCATGTCATTGGGCTTGCTTGTGCCACGCGTTTCGATCCACATCACCAGCCCGTTGGGCTTTGGTGATGATCCGACTCGAGACATAGTCGAGCCCATTATGGGCTCTTGCCATCTCTCCAATGCATTGCATCACAACCAATTTGTGCCATTCATGGGCTTTTTTCCTTTGGGCTTACGAATGCAGCCAGCTGCTTTTATGATGCTAGGCCC